ATACATAATGTGTAGGTAAAATATCCCTATGATGCATGTGGTCATTATGTATACAAATGTGGAACAATGAAATTAAGTTTTAAAGAAGAATGACAGTAGCTTATTTGGTAGGTTGGCAAATACGCACTGAAGAGTGGCTCACTGTGAATGAGCTGGGGATTCCTGTGTTCTGTGGTTTACTGTTGATGCAGGGTTTCCTAGGCTCAGGGTAACTGGAATGGTGGAATGGGTTTGCCGTGTAAAACCTACTCATCCTAATTTGAGGGTCCTGAGGATGTGCCTTTGTCCAGTACCTTAAGTAAAAGATTTGGAAGAGGAGTACCTGCACTATTACACTGCTCTGTCACTAGTCTTCTTCGTATGCCAGACCTTACAGTGGGGGCCATGGTGAAACAATCTGGGAACAGAAATACGATAGGCATGATTGGATTCTGAAGTGATGATGGCAAAGTGGCAGCATTCAAACATCAAAGATATTGGGTGAACTTATAACAGTGGAGGCAAATGCTTTGTCCCTGAGCAAAATGGTCTGCCTCATGTAGGCAGGCCTTCGGTGTAGGCTAATGAATTATGCTATTGCTGGAGGTAAAATAGGAATCGCTACATGTTTACAAGATTTGTTTTGGTAGAGAATGTTCAAAGCAGATGAATGACAGTGAACCTTAAGTCATGACAACAGTAAGTGGCCCCGACTTACCCAATCACCTGATATCACCCTGTGTTCAGACCCAGAACCCTTGGAATAAAGTAAATGCCACATCCATCTGAGGGGAGACCACAGGACACTGCCAGAAACATTACACTGTAACTTGTTCTACTATGTTTTTCCCCCAGCCGATCTCTGGCGTCCTATCAGGGTAACCATATGTTGACAGAAAGGAAAGAATCACACCTGTGGCACTGCTGGACACTGGTTATGAGCTGACACTGACACCATCAATTCCAAAACACCACTATGGCCATCCAGTCGGAGCCAGGACTATGAAAGTCAGGCAATGAATGATGTTTTACCCAAGACCCAAATGGAAGCCAGTACAGCTGCCTCTACCTGGGAAAACAGTGTATCAAAAGCAAACCTTCATTCCTAGAAGGACTGCAGAGATTAAGGTCACCATTAGGCACAACGCATCCCTATTTAGCTCTCATATTTAGCCTGTGCAAAAGATGCATAAACACTCTTATTCGTCTGTCTCCTCCCATGGGAGGACCTCACAGTGCACCATTCTACAAGACGAAGTGATAAGGCAGCACCTCCAGCTCCTCCTGGCAACCGAGCAGATTGCCCCTGATCTTGGACTTCCCCACGAAGATTCTGTTCTTTGTAAATTCTCAGTCTCATGTACTTTCTTACCGCACTGAGTAGCCATAAGATAGCGTGCTGTCTTGCTCTACTGTCTCCTTTCTCCCATCTAGACTTGTGGACCCGTGAGAGATTTCCTGAGAGGAAAAGACAGGAGCCTGGAATACTGATCATGTTGCATGTTATGTAGGCACCTCCTAAAGGTGAACTATTGCATAAATCAAGGTCCTTTGTTGGGACATCCCTCAAACATATCAGTACAGTAGCTAAAGGCAGCAGGTGAGAGATCACAGTTCCCGTGTGTTATATCGTAAGAAAAGACACATTAAAAAAAGTAGTAGGTAAAGAATTTTGCATGCCACCTGCCCCCATTCCATGTGGAAAGATCCTTCAAGCCTGAGGAAAGGAGAAAGAATTAAATCCGGGCCTACCCCTTGAAACCCAGCATCAGACACGCCACAGTGACAATGAGTACAGGCAGAGGCCATGACACCTGCTCCAAGACTGTATCCAAGACAGGCCAATGGAGCTCTGTTAGTCAGGCAGGCCCATAATAGCTCCCAGGACTCCTCCCATTGGGGAGCAAATGGAAATTTCCATGCACGGGGAACAGAGTATAGGAGTTATCACAGGAGTTTGCACTGCTGTTCCTTCTGGGGTCCACCAGACAGAAACCAGAGATCCCTTTTATCAGGCCAGAGACTACAGATAGGGCTTCTAGACCTGCCCAAACAACAGGCAGAGACCTTGGTGCCAGTGGCCTACATCATTATTGCCCTTGATAAAGGAAATGAGCTCATCCTACCTGCAGATGATACAAGACCCTGGGAAAATCAGGAGAGGCGCACTTTACTATCAAAGGGTCATTTTGACCACACCTTTCCCAACCTCAGGCAAGGTAGAGATACCTAGACCAGTGCTTTCAGACACAGTTCTGTCTATCCCTGCTCTAGCTTCTCAAAGGAAGCTTGTACTCTCTGTGATGAACATGTTTTTCCTGCATTGCCATGAGCTAAAACACTGGCTTGGTTGTGCCCCCATGAGACTGCAGGTCCTTGTCACTATGAGACCTGGATGGAATCAAGCTTAATGTCAGTCTTGGTAGGGACGTGACTGCACCAACCCTACTCCAACCTCAGGCAACACAGCATGGAGCAAGATACCATGCACCGGACACAGGTCAGAGTAGTAAGCACCAGACTGCTTTAATGCTCAGTGGCAGAATGGGGATCTCAACCCTGAGCAGATCCTAATGACAGCCACCAGTGTCTACAGAGAGCTGTAGGAATAGCCCTGGCTGAGGCAGGGACACACAGTATCAGTCTATTGAATTTCCACTCCACCCATTGGATGTGACTGGTCATGGAACTTTTGGGCCACGAGTTCACCTAGCAGTAGGCAGCCTGTGACAGTGTGGACCTTGCCCCAGTGCTGCACTTTTCTTAGTGGGTTGTGAGCTCAGAGGATGACCGGACACTGCAGAATTCATGGTCACAGCTTCTGAACAGACTCCTTTGCATATTCTGTTCACAGTGATTCTGCCAAAAATGGCAAGATCCTACAGTTCCATACCATAGGCCAGTAACTTTGCAGGAGATATTTGGGCTCACCCTCAACCTCAATACAGACCTACAGGACAGATTGTCCTAGGTCTTCCCCAACTGAAGCTGAAAAATATGCCACCTGCAGTTTTGAGACAAACCTAAACTTAGATCACCTGCTAGTGCTACAGCAGGGACCATACAAGCCCAACAGTGGGCTTGTGATAAACGTGGACCTAAGGTGTCCTCCAGTGCTGAAGCACAGATGTGACTATAAGCTCAGGTAAAGTAAGAAGTCTTGATTTTCTGGAAAGCTGGACAGAAAAAGCTTCATTATGAGGACTGGAATGAAGACCCAATCCACGAATTCCCAGATGATGCCACGCACCAACAAGTACTGAGAACTTCCAAGAAACCCAGACGTCAGTCATTGCGAAAACAAGCCACCAGGAACTAATTGGAAGCGTGGGAAAACCCATGGCTGGAGTCCTAAAACAGCATTTTAAGGAAACTCACCAAGCTTCAAAAGAACAAGGGAGATGATTCAATACTCTAACAGAGAGCTGAAAGCAGTTAAAAATCAAGCTGACATCCTTAGCCAGGTACAAAATCAATAACTTTTTGTATTGTAACAGTGAATAACCTGGACTAGAAATCAAGATACTAAATCCCACTCACAATATCCAGTAAATAAAAATCTAGAAAAATTTCAACCAAAGGAATGATGACATTTGTATTGAAAAGTATAAGTCATTGATGAAAGAAATGCAAGAGGATCCGAATAACGGAAATCTATCTTGTGTTCATGGATTGGAAGAACCAATATGGTCATAACAACCCCAAATAATTTAAAGATACAATGTAATCACTAACAAAATTGCCATAACTTTCTTTGTAGATCTAGAAAAAATACCTTAAACTTGTATGGAACTGCGAAGTATTCTGAACAGCCAAAGCTCTTTTCAGCAAAAACAGCAAACTAGAATACATTACAGCAGACTCCAAAATACACTTCAAAGTTGTAATCAGTAACACACGCAATGGCCCACTTGGTGCCTGACACTCAGTGGGGTTTCAGTAAACAACTGCCTACTAAGGGGATGAAGCATAACCACACCTGTGCTGGATTAGCTAGTTGTTCTGCATAACCCTCTTCAAACTCCTGGTCTTCTAAAACCCATTCTCTGACCTAGAACTGCGTTGGCTTAGCCTCCTTCAAGTCATTCCACTGACCCTATTTTATCCCGAGAGCTTGTCTTCTAATTTCTTTGTGTGTGGGTGTCTTTTCCTGGTCCTCTCCCAGATCTTTGCCATGCATACCTCTAAAACTGTGAAAAGAGGAATTTGAAAATATCCACCACACATACAAAATAAGTAGTGATGTGTTGGAGACTTACATCCTAATTTTTAAAGCTCTATTTTAACTTTTTTGTTTGGGGCTCTTTCTTAAAGAGTCTGAAGTATTGAGCCCAAGTTTTTCTTCAGGCTAAACAGATCTGTCATATCATCATCTGGATAAAAAAAGAAATAAATCTCTGCAATCTCCAGAAACTGTGTATTTAGTTTTAAAGTCATAGATTTTTAAGATTACTTTTTGACAGTTAATGTGTGCCTCTTTGTACATTTTTATACAAAGTGTTTTTCTTTCATAAGCACTTCTTGCTACACTATTCCCCAATTTGATACATATTTTCCTTATGGGTTGACGGATGATTTCTTATCATTTAAGAAGTGCACAATTTTTCTTCCTGAGTTCTGCAAATAGGCACTACGTGGCATCTCCATATCGATAGGTTTTTATTCTTAAATTATGGTAGCAAAGGGAAGCATCATTAGACAGAAACTGAAAAGCACATTTAAAAAACAGACACAAAGAAAAATATCAGATTATTTGGGGACATGAACGTTTATAAGCCTTGAACAGGTGAAAACACACACACACACACACACACACACACACACACACACACACACGCACAGCTGCAGAACTATATCTTAGAAAATCACACTTAAGTGCAGGGTATATAGCTCAGTAGCACCGTGCCTGCCTGGCAAGTGTGAGGTCCTGAATTTGATTCCTGGTACCAAAAATAAATTTAAAAAAATCATGCTGGTGGAAAATTTCCAAATCCTGGGAGGGTAGAAGCAACAGCACATGCTCATGCCCTGTCTGTGAAACCTCTCTAAACTCCACTCGGTAAACAAGGAGGCAACTTTGCTGAGCCCTTTGGAGGGAGCACAGGAGCAGCAGGGGGAGCATCCCCCGCCCTGACCACCAGGGAGTCTCCTCCTCTCCCTTTTAGATGGAGCGGGACAAGCTGGATGCAAGCACGATGTTTTGACCAGCGACATGACTTTTATCTATAGAGAGTGAGACCTTTCCCCTTCGGAATGCGCAGGGAACTGGGCTGCGGTAAGGGCTGCTGTTTCCATTGCTGCAAAAGTGTAGGAGTTTCAGTCAGGCTGCTGCGTTTAATGCCAGGCAAGGGCCTTCCACTGAACGGTGCACACCTGAGCTGCTTACGTGCTTCTTGCCCTCAGCCTCTTTGTTTTTAGTGAGGATTTTATTACCAAGACCAATGAATATGCAAATGGAGAAATAATACACTCAGAGAAGAGCACTTGGTCTTTAGTAAGTGCCCAGTAGACAGCAGCTGGTACAGATGCAAGTCTTTGTCTTTCTTTTCTTCCTTTTTTTTCTCTTTTCTTCCTACTTTTCTTTCTTCCTGCCTTCTTCTTTTTCTGCTCCCTCCTTTTTTCTTTCTTTCCTTTCTTTTTCCTTTTTCCTTCCTTTCTTCTGCCCCTTTCTCTTTCTCTTCTTTTTCTCTTTCCTTCTTTCCATCCTTCTCTCCCTCCCTCCTTTCCTTCTTTCCTTCCTTCCTTTCTTCCTTTCAACTCCAAAGAAACTAAAACGACTGTCGGTCTTTTTTTCCAGATTAAAATGAAATAACATAGAAATGTCCTTTCTAAATATATATTTTTCATCCTGTAAAGATCTTCCCTTCCTAATACTTAGGTTGAAAAGCAGAATGTTTTGAAGCTGTGCAAATAACACTGGTATAAGATCAAGGTGAACCTGAGCACTGAAATTTGTGTTTATTTACAGTTATTGACAGAATATGAAAGTTACTCTCTCTCTCTCTCTCTCTCTTTTTTTTTTGTACCGGGAACCAAACTCACTACCTCACACTTTCTAGGCAGGTGCTGTGCCTTTGAGCTATCTCCCTGGTATATGAAAGGTACTTTCACCACAACCACACACTGACAAATGGCAGAGGGAGGGATGGTACTGGTTAGAAATAGTGGTTGAAAGCAGAGTTGAGTTCTCTGATAAATGCAGTGCACTTCATTTCTCTAAGTGCAGTTGGTGCCATGAGGGGCCTTAGGCTCCTGCCTCAGAATGGACAGGAAAACGTAAGTGGCTGAAAGTCTGTGCTGCTTTAGTGCTAGCTGTCGTGGCTAAGTCAGAAGACCACAGTGAACAGGAAGGTTCAGGCTTCTCTCCGCCAGGAAAGGCACCAGCGGAAAGACAGAAAAGCCTTTTCCCATCTCTTCATTTTTAAAATAATATTTAGGGCTAGGGTTACTATATAAATAAAAATATGTTTATCACTCTAATATTTTTTGCTAATATGTTTTCCAAAACATTATAGAAATGAATCAATATTGCAATTTTAGAATTTTTTAAAAGCATGACTTAAAGAAAATATTTTATTCTCCTGAGTAACAGGCTTTCCGCTCACTTTGTGATGTTGACGCTGCATAAAATAAGCTGGCATTCATATGCACATCTTCCTTTTACACGTAGCAGAGGGTGCTCGTAACCGCAGTACACTTCTCTAATTCTCTCACGGATGAGAAAGCTCCGTGTGTGATGCTTTGTCCAATAATACATGGCCAGTGGACACTGCTGCTGCGCTTGTTAACTTTCTACATAGTAGAGAATTAAAAATATCTTCTTTCAACTCAATGTTTTATTTGGAGTATTTTTATATTTATAGAAATAATATACTCTAAAGATTTATTTCCAGTTTATACTCACTTAGTTGCCTTTAATAGTGTCAGCTTACATTGCCTTGAGTTCATTTGTCAAATTTATGCAATAAACACAGATACAATGCTTTTCACTATGAACTGGATTCTATTTACATTTACTGAATTTTTTCTACTACTGTCTTTTTGCCATGTGTTTTGGTTACTTTTTTCTTGCTGCTGGGACAAAATACCTGACGACCAAAATTAAGGAAGGAAAGGTTTATTTCACTTACAGTTTGTGGAGGTTTCAATGCATACCAGGCATGATTGTGAGGCAGAGTGGCACGTGGTAGAGGGCTGCATCTCAGGGCGGCAGCACAGCCAAGCAGCTACCGGGACACACACACCAGGGTGGAATGGGGGAGGAATCTCTCCAAGCAGCTTCCTCTTCTCCCTTACATATGCAAACTATCCACCCCAGGGCGGGTGTAGCTCTCACACCCATATTCAAACTCTAATAGCCTGCCCCAGGGCCGCAGGAGGCTTTGGGGGGGACACACAGACATAAACCATTAACACCATGGTAGGGTTCACTGCTGCATGACAGAATGCATTTAGGACAATCACTTTTTAAATGATTTAAAATTGTAAACCTTGTGATCATAAAGTACAGACACAGTGTTCTCCATGGTCAGTGTTTTAGTACTGATTCTGGAAATTCCTTTATGTGGAAAAAAAGAAAAGAGTGAGCTTGTTTTTATCTAATGAATATTTTAATTCAAAAGTCTCATTCCTTTTTGTTATACATCAGAAGAAGGAAGGGGAGAGAAAATCATTACTTAATTATTAGATTGATCACGGGACTCAGTTTTCTCTGTGTAATGTGGTTATGGGAAATCAGAGTGGGTACGAACAGACCTCAGTGCCATGGTCTTATTTTCAAGATTTCTCAGACATCTAAAAGTGCTGCGCATTTTAAAAATATCCTTTCTGCACTGCAATGGATGAAAATATTTATAAAAATAAGGGCGTGTATCATCCTCGGCAACAGCAAGGCAGGGGTCAGGTGTAAAATGTTGTCATTTCTGCTGTGTCCCGGGTGTGGCAGCTTGTTCCCACCACTCACTGTCACCTTTCCTTGGGTGCAGATGGCTCCACACCGTGGTCTGATCTGATCCTCACAAGAAACCTACTGAGAGCCCTTCCCTTTATATCCATTTGCAGAGTGAAGTCGGAGCATTTGAGAAACTTAAGAACCTTATGCAACCCTTTCCATGCTGTGGAATAACTACCAGAGGTTAGATCTGAAGCCCAAGTTCTTCCTGGTGTTCCTTGTTTGTGTTTCCTGCCTTGACCTTATCCTAAGCTGACCTCTGCTGCAGTATATACTGTTGTTCTTTACAATAAATAGTTCTTGTGTGATTGGATGACCTTACAGAGTTTGTTCATATTCTTGTGTCCGTGCTGATAGCTTGTGAGTGGATATATCACTCGTGGTGCAGAGCCTGAAAGTGATAAATCTGAGAATATAATAGAGGTGGTTGTTTTAAAGCAAGCAAAAGGATAGCTGGGGCGTGGTGGCACAGGCCTGCAATCCCAGCATTTGAGAGGCTGAGGCAGGAGGATCAATGTGAGTTTGAGGCCAGCCTGGGCTAGATAGTGAGTTCAAGGCCAGCCTGAACTGCATAATGAAATCCTGTTTCCAAAAACCTCAAAAAAAAAGGAGAAAAATAAATTAATAAGGTAAAAAGACAGCTTCTAATGTATATAATTGTATACATTAATTTTATTAATATGTAAAGATATTTTTGTGGCAGTCATAAAAAATCAGCTTATTATTATTCTTCTCATAATAAGCCTGATTATTGCTTTATTTACCTATTTTAACAAGAAATACACACATGCCTGTTTGTCCTTCAAAATACACACAAAAGGGGCTGGGGATTTAGCTCAGCGGCAAGGTGCCTGCCTGGCAGGCTCAAGGTCGTGAGTTCAGTTCCTGGTACTGGAGAAAAAAAAAAAAAAGAAAAAAAAATACACACGAAAATGCTACTTGACTGGTGTATTTCACATAACAGTTGGGGATAACCGTCTTTTGATGTTGTGTCTACCCATGGAAAATGAACTCAGAGTTGTAGTATATGTCTGGAGGACTCATGCAAAAGCTTCCTGTTCATAAGGCAGCTGAGCTTTTAAGTGAGTGAATTATAATTACAATTGCTAAGGGCATTTTATCATGAGTAATATTTTCACATTTTTAAATTAGACACTGACATAGTCTTGGGAGACAAACAGTTATACTGTGAACAAACATCTCTGTTGCACCATAAGGTCAAATAAATGTGACTTTGTAATAATACACCTTTAAGAATTGTATTTGTTCATGCAAGGTCATATTATGCAACTAGTTTGGAATAAAGACTGAAGACTCTAAAGAATGTTCAATCTGTTGTTTTTCTACCCCACCCATGTAGCTGCTGCCAATCTGCCTGCGCTGGGATTGGTCTTCACCTCTGATTCCACATCACTTGCTCTGTTACCTTCATTGAGTGGCCTCATTTATGCACAAACCAAAGAATCAGAGTCCACATCTTTTAGACAGATGGAGACTGTACAAACACCACTTCTCTTTTCAAATGCCTGCAGGAAAATCTCTACTCCTTTCCTTGTTGAGCTGGTGGAAATCATGCAAGTATTGACACCAGAAGTTCTGTGTTCAAGTCCCAACCACCAGCTGTTGGCTTGAAGTATGAATTTCCCACCAATAAAGCAGGGATAATAAGAACTATTGCTGACTGATCTGGAAGGGGCGGTCCCTGAGCAGCTATTTTCCTCCCATTGCTTCACTTAGACATTGTGACAATGTTTTCACTAACTCTGTTCACTTCTTAAAATGATGAACAAAAGAAGTAGAATATCGCTAATGTGTGTATACATTGCATCAAGCCATAGCCAGGCCCTTCCTGTAGGCCTTTCTGTATTATAAAGAATGAATTAATACATACAAATGTTCAACCTTTTTCAATGCTTTAAAGAAACTTGTGAAAAGAAGCGATAGTTTTCCAGTGCTTCCTAAACCACCTCTTACTTTTTCCTCCCTTGGTAAATAAGACAGTGATTTTAGCAAGGACAGCAGACTCGCTGTCCCTGCCATGTTCCACGGCAACGGTAGACATGATTAATCGATAACAGCTTTTCCTTCCTCATCACGTGAGAACAGCTTCAGGGTGCCTTACAGTAACTGACATCAGGAGGCCACTAGACAATGATCAGAGGTTTTGGCTTAAATGAAACTTACTTCTGTTTTTAGCTGTGCACACATTCTTCTGTTCCACCTATATTGAAAAATTGGTCCTTTACAAATATTCAATAATTCATCTCCACCCAAACTCTGCCTCATCCACAGCTACTACCTTCAAAAAAATCTCTAATTTTGTGTTTTCAATGATGGTGTACACACTCAAGAATAGTTTCCATCATGTTGTATCAATTTATTGATGACTGTACAATTACAAACTTGTTTGAATTTTTATCATACTTTCAAATTTGCATGGTCATTGTTTTATATTTTCACCTTTCTTTTGGAAATCATGCCAAACCACAGCTTTGTGACTGAATTTGTCCTCCTGGGACTTTCACAGAATCCAAACCTTCAGAAAATGGTATTTGTTGTATTTTTGTTTGTCTATGTTGCAACTATTGGGGGCAACATGCTAATTGTGGGGACCGTCGTCTGCAGCCCTGCTCTGCTGGAATGCCCCATGTACTTCTTCTTGGCCTTCCTGTCCTTCCTGGATGCCTGCTTCTCCTCTGTCATCACACCAAAGATGATTGCTGACTCCCTCTGTGAGAGAAAAACCATCTCCTTTGAAGGCTGCATGGTGCAGCTCTTTGCTGAACACTTCCTTGCTGGGGTGGAGGTGATTGTGCTCACAGCCATGGCCTACGACCGCTACGTGGCCATCTGCAAGCCCCTGCGCTACTCTTCCATCATGAACAGGAGGCTCTGTCATGCTCTGATGGGTGTAGCCTGGACGGGGGGCTTCCTGCATTCCATCATCCAAATTCTCTTCACTTTCCAGCTCCCCTTTTGTGGCCCCAATGTCATTGACCACTTCATGTGTGACCTGTACCCATTGCTGAAGCTTGCCTGCACCGACACACACATCTTTGGCCTTTTGGTGGTTGCCAACAGTGGGTCCATCTGCATTATCATCTTCTCCCTGTTGATCCTCTCCTACGGTGTCATCTTGTTCTCTCTGAGGAAGCACAGTTCTGAAGGGCAGAGGAAGGCTCTGTCCACCTGTGGGTCCCACATTGCTGTTGTGCTTTTGTTCTTCATCCCATGCATATTTATATATGCACGGCCCCCATCCGCCTTCTCCTTTGACAAAATGGTGGCCATTTTTTACACCATGCTAACTCCGTTGCTCAACCCTTTGATTTACACTTTTAGGAATAAGGATGTGAAAAATGCTATAAGAAAAATGTGGAACAGATTGGTGGCAATTTCTGGTGAAGAGTAAAAGTCAATCACTTTTCAAATATCAAAATCATGTGTAAAGCAGTCAAAAGATGCAATGTGTTACTGCATGTCTATAGAAATAGCCTTCCTGTGGTTGTAAGATGTCTTTACTTTCCCTTTAGGCACTACTTCTGAGCTGGTAAGTGGATATGCTTTATATCTAAATTAAAGACAGTTAAATTTTGTATTTACTCAGAAATTGTATAATCCATAAATGAACTGAAAAGTAAATTACCTAAGGGATTACCTACCACTCATTCATTCCGTGGTTTCTGTGGGTGGATTAAAATGGTTTCGCTTTAGGAATGGAAAGTTACTGCATCTGTGCAGGTGGGAAAGTGACCCTATGAAGGGTGGTGATCTCTGCGACTTGCAAAGCAAGTCTGACTCAGGACAGACAGAGCACTGAGTACCTGTAGCCCCTTAGCTGCGGGTTCTGTATGACCTGACAGTGCGGGTCAATCCTTGTTGGCTACCTAATTTGATCCTTGTTGAATTTCTTTAAAGATGCAAGGTGATCTTCCTATGTGTGAATTCATCTGTGCCAGGTAATCTCCCCATCCAGTATAATCAAGTAAAGGAGAGGGAGAGGGCCAGATTCCAAACAGGAGCAGCAGTGAGTATTTCTTATTCCAGAACAGTAAAAGAGAGCTCTGGAGAGACACCGTATTAGTAACACCACACTAAAGCTGAATCTGTAATCACCCTTTTGCCCTTTAAGAAGAGAGTAACCAGAGGTGCAGAAATTACAAAAGGATTTTAAAAGAAGATCACACTGCAATTTATGTGGTGATTTTCTTTTTCCTTGACTTTGACTACTGAACGGAAATGAATTCTATTTGAACAATGTTCAATGAAGAGATCACTTAAATTTAGAAACCTTTTATATATCATTGCCATCATTAAGGTCTGTTATTCTCAGATTGTCAGGTGACTTCTGGAATAAATTTGTTTATAGTGAACATTCAGTTTTTCTTACTGTATCAAAACTAATAAAACACTAACTGACATTATGTTCTTTGTATCCACACCATCTCCAAAGTTAATACATGTATTTTACTAGTTTTTTTCCTCAGAACAGATGTGGCAAAAGATAGATAAGAATTCGCTACCTCCTGTGGGGAAGTTGATTATGGATTAAGATTAGGGTCTAAAATATAATCTGCAATAAGTGTCTGTGTTTTGTAAAACCAATTTTGTAACAAAAGCGTGCTAGACATGCTAGGGAGTATTCCCAGTCCTTTCCCTTATATCTCCATTGTATGCCTGTCCTCGGAGCAAAAGTTATTTCTCAGTGTCCTTTCCCTTCACAGTGACTTTTGATATTTAGTAAGTCATTTACCCCTAAGAACTAGCTGGAGAAATTAGGATTATTTACTTTATGAGTCTATGAATCTGAGATTTGAAGAACAATTAAATGAAACATTATTCTAGTCAGATTGTCGTGTCCAACACAGTTTCTTATCTCTTTGTCTCACACTCAAATGCAAACTCATTTTTACTATTTTAACTCAATATCTCACTGTGAACTCTGGTAATGTTAAAGAAAAATTACAATATTCACCAGAGGAATAAGCAGATATTGATACACATCTAGCCCAGCTTTTCCTCTCTCTGTATTGATGAGCAGAATTTTGCAAAATTTTATCAAAATAATGCTTGCTATTTTAGCTTTCAATTTATTTGTCTTTTGATTTTGCTTCAGCACTGTGGAGATCATTCCAACGTTTTTAGAGCTTAAGCTGTGTAGCTTATGTTCACACTAAATCAGTTTGTAGTTATTGTAGCTATTCAAAGAACTTTCAAGGGGCTGGGGATTTAGCTCAGCGGCAAAGCGCCTGCCTGGCAAGCGCAAGGTCGTGAGTTCGGTTCCCGGTACCAGAGAAAAACCAAAAAAA